TATGTTCTGTTTTAGCTTTTTATTTTGAAATAATTTTAGATTTACGGAAGAGTTACAAAGATAGTATAGAAAGTTTCAACATAGCCTTCACCCAGCTTCTCTTAATGTTAACAATTTACATAACCCTGTTTCAAAACTAAGAAATTAACATTGGTACAATACTAATAACGAAACTATAGACCTTATTCCAGTTTCACCAGTTTTTTCACTAGTGTCCTTTTTGTGTTCCGGGATACCACACTGCATTTAGTTGTCAGATCTCTTTAGTGTCCTATCTGTGAATAGGACAGTCTCTGACAGTTTCTGTCTTTCCTTGACTTTCGTGACCTTGACACTTTAGAAGATTACAGGTCAAGTATTTTGTAGAATATTCCCTCAATTTGGGTTTATTTGATGTTTTTCATGATTAACTGAAGTTTTGGATCAGTGAATAATTTTTTTTTTTTTTTTTTTTTGAGACGGAGTTTCGCTCATTACCCAGGCTGGAGTGCAATGGCGCGTTCTCATCTTACCGCAACCTCCGCCTCCTGGGTTCAAGCAATTCTCCTGCCTCAGCCTCCTGAGTAGCTGGGATTACAGGCACGCGCCACCATGCCCAGCTAATTTTTTTTTTTGTATTTTTAGTAGAGACGGGGTTTCACCATGTTGACCAGGATGGTCTTGATCTCTTGACTTCGTGATCCACCCGCCTCGGCCTCCCAAAGTGCTGGGATTACAGGCTTGAGCCACCGCGCCCGGCCCAGTGAATAATTTTTAAAGTATCAATACTATCTATTTAGATATATATATTATATATATATAATCCTGCAACTTGCTATTTTCATTCAAAATACGACTTTGAGATATACCCATGTTGATACATGCAGATCAAGATCACTTCTTTTATTTATTATTGTTATTTTTTTGAGACAGGGTCTTGCTCTGTCACCCAGGCTTGAGTGCAGTGGCACGATCACAGCTCACTGCAACCTTGACCTCCTGGGCTCGAGTGATCCTCCCACCTCAGCCTCCTGAGTAGCAGCTGCAACTACATGGTGGAGCCACCATGCCCAGCTGACTTTTTTTGTTATTTGTTTTATTTTAAGATGGGATTTCACTGTGTTGGCCAGGCCGGTCTTCAACTCCTGACCTCAGGTGATCCACACACCTTGGCCTCCCAATGTGCTAGGATTACAGGTATGAGCCACCACGCCTGGCTGGCTGACTTTTTTTAAAAACTTTTTGTAGGCCGGGCGCGGTGGCTCACGCCTGTAATCCCAGCACTTTGGGAGGCCGAGGCGGGTGGATCACGAGGTCAAGAGATCGAGACCATCCTGGTCAACATGGTGAAACCCTGTCTCTACTAAAAATGCAAAAAATTAGCTGGGCATGGTGGCGCGTGCCTGTAATGCCAGCTACTCAGGAAGCTGAGGAGGGAGAATTGCCTGAACCCAGGAGGCGGAGGTTGCGGTGAGCCCAGATTGTGCCATTGCACTCCAGCCTGGGTAACAAGAGCGAAACTCCGTCTCAAAAAAAAAAAAAAAAAAAAACTTTTTGTAGAGATGAGGTCTCACTATGTAGCCTATGCTTCATTTAAATTATCTATAGAATTTTATTATATAAGCATTCTACATTTTAGTTAGCTATTTCCCTGTTGGTGGGCATTTAGGTGATTCTAAATTTTCCTTTCCTTTCTTTTTTTTTTTTTTTTTTTTCAAAACAGAGTTTCATTCCATCACCAGACTGGAGTGCAGTGGTGTGATCTTGGCTCACCACAACCTCTGCCTCCTGGGTTCAAGCAATTCTTGTGCCACAAGCAATTCTCTCATGTAGCTGGGATTACAGGCATGCATTAGTAAGCCTGGCTAATTTTTTTTTTTTTTTTTTTTTTTTTGGTAGAGACAGTGTTTCTCCATGTTGTCCAGGTTGGTCTTGAACTTGTGAGTTCAAAGCAATCTACCCTCCTCAGCCTCCCAAAGTGCTGGGATTACAGTGAGCCACTGCCCCTGGCAGACCCCAGTGATTATCCTTGCACATATCTCCATATACACATGGAGTCATGGGTGGTAACTAGGAGTGGCAGTGGTGAGACAGACGTCACAGATGTTGTCCAGTTGCCCTCTGAAGTGGCTGGGCCAGTTTACATTCTTTGATATTATGAAGCTTGAAAATTGATACCAGTCTCAGTTTTATTTCCATTTTTCTGATTACTAGTAAGTTTGGGCATCTTTTTGCATGTTTATTGGCAGTTTGTATTTCCTTTTCTGTGAACTGCCTACTTATATTTTTGCCCATTTTTCTTTATTATTATTTTCTATTATTATTTATAGCTATTATCTACTGGAAGAATGCCCATATTTCTAATGGATTATTCATCCTTTTTCTTTTCAAGATGTTTTTCTCTGTTGCCCAGGCTGGAGTGCAGTGGCCCAATCTTAGCTCACTGTAATCTCTGCCTCCTGGGTTCAAGTGATTCTCCTGCCTCAGCCTCCTGAGTAGCTGGAATTACAGGCATGCACTACCATGCCCAGCTAGTTTTTGTATTTTTAGTAGAGATGGGGTTTCACCATACTGGTCAGGCTGGTCTTGAACTCTTGACCTTGTGATCTGCCTGCCTCGGTCTCTCAAAGTGCTGACATTAACATATTCATTCTTTTTCTTATTGATTTGTTAGACATACCCTTGTCTTTTGTATGTTGCAAATAGTTTTCACTTTATTCTGTTTATCTTTTAACTTTGTTTTCAATTTGTTTCAAGTTATTCCATCTCTCTGATTTTTTAAGTTCTTTTTTCTGATTTATTTTTCAAAACAAAGTTATTGATTATAAAAATAATACAAACACTAAGAAATTAATACAAAAGTACAAAGAAACCACCCCATCTTATCACTGAGAGAAAACAACATAACCAATTACTTATTTCTCTCTAGTCTTCTTTTTTTTTGTTTGTTTTTTTGAGATGGAGTTTCACTCTTGTTACCGAGGCTGGAGTGCAATGGCGCGATCTCGGCTCACTGCAACCTCTGCCTCCTGCATTCAGGCAATTCTCCTGCCTCAGCCTCCTGAGTAGCTGGGATTACAGGCACGCGCCACCATGCCCAGCTAATTTTTTGTATTTTTAGTAGAGATGGGGTTTCACCATGTTGACCAGGATGGTCTCGATCTCTTGACCTCGTGATCCACCCGCCTCGGCCTCCCAAAGTGCTGGGATTACAGGCTTGAGCCACCGCACCCGGCCCTTCTCTCTAGTCTTTTGTGTGCAATTTTTTTTTCACAGTTGTGATCACATTCATTTGTGTGTGTCAGTATATTTGTTTTTCTCTCAGTACCCCGGTCTTTAGACAAAAAACCCTGGCCATTTTTCTTTTCTTTGCTTTTTTTGAGATGGAGTCTCCCTCTTTTGCCCAAGCTGGAGTGCAGTGGCATGATCTTGGCTCACTGCAACCTCTGCCTCCTGGCTTCAAGCAATTCTCCTGCCTCAGCCTCCCAAGTAGCTGGGTCTACAGGCATGCACCACCATACCCAGCTAATTTTTGTATTTTTAGTAGAGATGGGGTTTCACTATGTTGGTCAGGCTGGTCTTGAACTCCTGACCTCAAATGATCCACCCACCTCAGCTTCCCAAAGTGCTGAGCCACCAGTTCCCACCACCCTGGCGTTTTTTCAAATGTACTTGGTTTAATGATTGTGTCACACCAGCCTCGAAACCCTATTTCTCTTTTCCATATATCCTGAGAAATCTAGGTGAGAGGCCCAAGGCCTATCCTCAGCTGACCTGAAGCAAAGTTGACTAAAAAGCTAAGAAGGGGTAGAAATGCTCCAGTGGAGCACTTATTAAAAAGACGTGGAGGTTTTGGTTGACTCCAAGCCCAATATAAGTCAACAGTATGGACGCCAAGAACTTTATTGCAGGAGTGCCAAGCACTAGGCTCCCCAAAGAAGGAAGCTATAGTCCTGCTTTGCTCTGATGATACCACAAACATTTGGTTCAGGCGTGGGTGACACGTTCTAAAGAAATCACAGTGAACTCAACCATTTGCATGAGAGGGGTAAAGACCCTTATAACCAGGGCAGAGGAGGAACAATGGAAGGAATGAGAGACACTGATGTGGAATAAGACGACCTTGGGCAGAGGTGGTAAAAGTAAAGTACCTGAAAAGTCAAAGGTCCAAGAGAGATGAGATGTTTGCTCTCTGCGGCTCCAAGGCATCGAATTTGGGCCCTGAGAGTGGCAGTTTAGACACATTGTCTCGCTGGTAAAAGTGGCCTGGAAGGAATTCAGTGCTCTGGAAATAGTGGGCTGCTTCCGAGGAGTCTTGCCTGCTGAGTTGCTGGTGGTGGGGTGAACACTTGTTGAGTGCTTACTGCGTGCTCGGACCCTGCCGAGGGCCTCACCTGCGTGGCGTGATTTCATCCTGCCAACACGCTTTGATGTGGGCACTGCTGTTTCCTAGCCTGGTGTTACAGATGTGGGCACAGGGTATAGGAGGGCAAGTACCTTCCCTGAGGTTACAGTAAGTGGTGGTACTGGGACTCGAACTCCTAAAAAACTTCAAAGCCGGTGCTTCTAGCCATCAAGGGGATTCGAGGGTGCCATGGGGGTGTGGACCCATGAGGGGCTTTGAGGTCCACTAGACTTGAACATTCTGTGCCTGGGAAAAAGGATGCCCTCTCCTCCCAAGGGAAAGCCTGGTCGGAATGAGATGCTGTGGAGAGGGTAGCCCGGAACCCGGCTGAGGGGCGCAGGCAGAACGCCAAGGGCGGAGACCTAAAGGCGATGGAAGGGTTGTCAACGTGCGTCGCCGCCAGAAGGTGAAAGCCGGCGTTCCGTTGTTTGAAGAGCTCCAGACGCGCGGGAGGGACAGACGCAGCGCGGTCAGGGAGCGTCGGCGTCGCCCAGCTCTGCGGCGGAGCTGAGGGAAGGAACAGCGCGCCCGTCCCTGGCCAGGCGCGCGCAGGGGGCGGCACAGGGCGGCGCCGGGCGGCGGCGGCGGGGAGGGCGTACGCTGGAGCGGCTGCGGCAGTTGCGCGCTGGGATTGTTGCTGTGCGCCTGGGCCGGTGAGTGCGGCGGGACCGGCGGGCGGGTGGGGAAGGAGCTGGCGAGCGGGGAGCGAGGTGAGGAGGTGCGCGGCCGAGCGCGCGACCCCAGGGCAGCGGCCGCCGCCTGCCTCCGCCCCCGGCCCCCAGGCACCGTGGCCCCCAGGCCCCTCTCCTTAGGCCGAGACTCTGCCCGCGCGCCCGCGGACGCCACACGCCTCCCCGCTCCCTGGGTGCGGTCCCCGCCCCGTGGCAGCCCCTTCCTCCGCGCCGCGGCGACGCCTCCGGCTCACGTCACGCTCGCGCCATTGTTTCCCAGCGGCTGGCTCTCCGGGACCCCGCCTCAGCCTGCAAGCGCGGCGGTTCGCCGGGTTCCGCCCGGCATCCCGTTTCCTCACGCGGGTGGTGCCCCTTTCCTCAGTCCTGCTCTCGTTCTCCAGCCCATTCCTGGCCGTCCCCGGCCACCCCTGAGGCCGTGCCTTCGCCCCTTGTCATGGCCTTCTCGCCCCCTGCGCGCCCGCCGTCGCCCCCGGAGAAGCCGGCGGGCCTCTGTGGCGGGGCGCCAGGTTGACAGCGTTTTAGCAGGACCACGAGAAACGGCCAGCTCGCTTGCCACACGCCCGTGTGCAGCACTTCCTGGAAAGGCCACAGCGAATTGCAAGCCGCCACAAAAAACATCCGGACGGCTGCGGTCAGGGGGCTCGGCCGTTCCGTGGCGGCCTAGTCCTTTCCTTTTTTCGGGGTTCCTGAAACCGGAGAGGGCGAGATGCCGATCTGAGGCCTGAACCCTGCGTTGTAAGAAGAACGTTTTGGGGGTTTGACTCCGGCAGGCTGCAGCTTCTGAAAGCAGTAGGTAGACACCGCTGTCAGGGTCGACGTCTTCCTGGGCTTGCAGCTTTAGGGCCCTGATGTCTGACGGGGGCAGTGCCCCGAAATGACTAGTCAACCATGACAGGGGGGTGTGTGCGCGCGCGCGGCCGGGGGCGGACGGGCTCTTCGGGATTGAGCTGAACTTGCTTCCCACTGTCTGTAGACTGTTCATTTTCCCACTTAAAGCAACGCATGCAAACAGCTGACTGGAATGTGAAAGGGAGAGTATTGAAACTGTGTCATTTATCACGAACACGTAATGTTACTGCGTACAGGAGGCTTTAGGTTTTCAAAATGTGTACCATGTCGCTTTTCAACAACGGTTGGAATTTATCCAGATGAAGACATACAGGCCTAAAAGTGTTCAGTTTGAAAAGTGAAAAAAGAAAAGAAAAGAAGAGATGTGAGCTGAGAGTGAAAAAGGAACAAAAATGGTTAAGTTCAAGATAACATATCTGGTTAGTCATTAGAAACTCCACATGCAGGGTTGATACTAGCATACACAGACTTTTATTTCTGAAGTGCATTTTCATTGCAGTATAAACCACTACATTTCAGCAGTCTAGGTAGCTGTATTACTCTCATTGACCCAGAATTAAGGTTTTAGGATTTAGTAACCAACAACTGTAAAATAAACGGGGCTGAAAGAGATGTTCTGCAAGATTGTTTTCAGTTCTAAGGTTTGATGCCATTGTGTGAAAATTTACAATCAGCTACAAGTTTCCGGAAGTTTGTAATTGTAAGAAGATTTATATAGATAGTATTCCCTTTTAGTATCTGCTAGCCTTAACCGGAAGACATCACGTCTTCCTAAGGAAAGCCAGCTTACAATAGAATGTTAGGCAGAGAGGTGCTCATTAATCTGTCTCCAGGCCATTTCTGCAGTTTTATGGGGAAAGGGAGGGATACATAAAACACGTTGGTTTTGTTTGTTTGTTTGATACGGAGTTTCGCTCTTGTTACCCAGGCTGGAGTGCAATGGCTCAATCTCGGCTCACCGCAACCTCCGCCTCCTGGGTTCAGGCAATTCTTCTGCCTCAGCCTCCTGAGTATCTGGGATTATAGGCTTGTAATATCTGTTTGGAAAGAGAAGACTGAAATCTGCTGCCTGAAATTTAATGGCTTAAAAGAAAAAAAATCAGTAAGCTTGTTGAGTATCAGCATGTTTTCATTACAGATGCCCAGTGGAACATACATTTTTATAGGTTCCTTGGTTTAATGGAGTTTCCTTTTTTTTTTCTTCATTTTTATTTTGGAGACAGAGTCTCACTCTGTTGCCCATGCTGGAGTGCAGTGGCATGATCTTGGCTCACCAAAACCTGGGTTCAAGCAGTTCTCCTGCCTTAGCCTCCTGAATAGCTGGGATTACAGGAGTGTGCCACCACACCCAGCTAATTTTCATATTTTTAGTAGAGGCAGGGTTTCACCGTGTTGGTCAGGCTGGTCTTGAACTCCTTTTTTTTTTTTTTTTTTTTTTTTAATGGACCACAAGTTTCTTTGTGTGTGTGTGTGTGTGTGTGTGTGTGTGTGTGTATTAAGCATTATTATTATTTTTTTTTTGAGAAAGAAAAAAATAATAAAAAGAATAAAGAAGAGGAAGAAAGAGAAAGAGGAAGAGGGAGAGAGAATGGGGGTATTGCTTTATTGCCCGGGGTAGAATGCAGTCTAAATATGGGTATACCTGTAATTGTCCTTAATAATGGAGACATAAAATAAAATGAGGGAAGAGAATAACAAACAAGGAGCCAACCAACATTTCGTTTAAACTTCTAAGTTGATATGATGTGGTACTGATAAGAGTGTATATTTTGGATATTTAAAGTGGAGAGTTCTATAAATGTTAATTACGTTTACTTGTTCCAGATCTGAGTTCAAGTCCTGGATATCGTTGTTAATTTTCTGTCTCATTGATCTGTCTAATATTAATGTTGAAGTCTCCGACTATTGTTGTGTGGGAGTCTAAGTCTCTTTATTAGTCTTATATGTCTGCGTATCCCTGTATTGGGTGCGTACATATTTAGGATCTTTAGCTCTTCTTGTTGTTGCATTGATCCTTTTATCATTATATAATGTCCTTCTTTGCTTCTTTTGATCTTTGTTGCTTTAACAACTATTTTATCAGAGGCAAAAATTGTAACTTCTGCTTTTTATTTATATATTTTAGCTCTCTGTTTGGTTGGTAAATCTTTCTCCATCCCTTATTTTGAGTCTTTGTGTATCCTTGAATGTGAGATGGGTCTGGATGCAGCATACTGATGGGTTTTAGTTTTTTATCTAAATTGTCTGTCTGTCTTTGGATTGGGGGATTTAGTCAATTTAAATTTAGAATTAACAATGATATATGTGAGTTTAATACTGCCATTTAATATTAGCTGGCTATTTTGCCCATTAGTTGATGTAAATTCTTCATTATATTGATACTCTTTTTGGTATTTTTTAGAAAGGCTGATACTGTTTATTCCTTTCTATGTGTAGTGGTTCTTTCAGAAGCTCTTGTAAAGCAGGCCTGGTGGTGATGAAATCTCTGAGTGCTTGCTTGTTCACAAAAAACTTTACTTTTCCTTCACTTATGAAGCTTAGCTTGGCTGGATGTGAAATTCTGGGTTGAAAGTTCTTTTCTTTAAGGATGTTGCATATTGGTCCCCACTCTCTTCTGGCTTGTAGGGTTTCTGCTGAGAGATCTGCTGCAAGTCTGATAGGCTTCCCTTTATGGGTAACCTGACTTTTCTCTTTGGCTGCCCTTAGTATTTTCTCCTTCATTTCAACCCGGGTAAATCTGACGATTATGTGCCTTGGAGTTGCTCTTCTTGAGGAATATCTTTGTGGTGTTCTCTGTATTACCTGGAGTTGAATATTATCTTGCCTTACTAGGTTGGGAAAATTTTCCTGAATAATACCCTGAAGCGTATTTTCCAGCTTGGATTCATTCTCTTCGTCACATTCAGGTACACCTATCAAGCGTAGATTAGGTCTTTTCACATAGTCCCATATTTCTTGGAGACTTTGCTCGTTCCTTTTTATCCTTTTTTCTCTAATCTTGTCTTCTTGTTTTATTTCATTGAGTTGGTCTTCGGCCTCTGATATCCTTTCTTCTGCTTGATCAATTCGGCTGTTAAAACTTGTGCATACTTCACGTAGTTCTCGTATTGTGTTTTTCAGTTCCATCAATTCACTTATTTTCCTCTCTAAATTTTGTATTCTTGTTGACATTTCGTCAAACCTTTTTTCAAAGTTCTTAGTTTCTTTAGATTGTGTTAGCACAAGTTCTTTTAATTCACAGGAGTTTCTTATTATCCACGTTTTGAAGCCTGCTTCTGTAATTGGAACACACTCGTTCTCCATCAAGCCTTGTTTCGTTGCTGATGAGGAACTGTGATCTCCCTGAGGGAGAGGCGTTCTGATCTTGGGTATTCTCAGCCTTTTTTGGCTTTTTTCTTCCCTTCGTTGTAGATTTATCCATGTGGTCTTTATAATTACCGTCTTTGTAATTGGGTTTCCGAGTGGACGTCCAACTTATTGATTCTCAGCGCCGAAATCTGAGCAACCCACTGTGCCGACTAAATCAGTGGCGTTAAGATTCATGGTGCTTTTCTGACTCTGCACCAAGAACCAACGCTCCAAAGCGCCGGCAAAACCGCCTCACCGGTCACAAGAGTCGCGCTGGGGACCCCTGGGGCTCCTCCGCTGGGAATCTTCTGGTGCGTGCGCAACAAGAATTCATGTGAAGGTGTGGGGTCCTCTCCTTCTTTGCGTTTTCACTGGGAGCTACAATCCCGAGCTGCTAGTGATCAGCCACCTTGGATCTCTTGGTCTTGAACTCCTGGCCTCATGATCTACCTGCCTTGACCTCCCAAAGTGTAAGGAGTTTCTTTAATGTTTTAATTTAGGTTTGTCTTAAAATACAGTGAAATAGCTGGGCGCGGTGGCTCACGCCTGTAATCCCAGCACTTTGGGAGGCCGAGGCGGGTGGATCACGAGGTCGAGAGATCGAGACTGTCCTGGTCAACATGGTGAAACCCCGTCTCTACTAAAAATACAAAAAATTAGCTGGGCATGGTGGCTTGTGCCTGTGATCCCAGCTACTCCGGAGGCTGAGGCAGGAGAATTGCCTGAACCCAGGAGGCAGAGGTTGCGGTGAGCCAAGATTGCGC